TAGTAGAGACGGGATCTCGCTCTTGCTCAGGCTGGTCTCGAACTCCTGAGCTCAAACAATCCGCCCGCCTCGGCCTCCCAGAGTGCTAGGGTTACAGGCGTGAGCCACCGCGCCCGGCCGGCCAGATGAACTTTTTTTAAATGAACGTTTTATTTTTACCTTGAAGACATCACTCGAGATAATGGGAGAGTTCCAGGTTTTAGGCGATCGCCGCTGCAAACTTCCTAGTGAGTAAACCTGGCCTGTGTATGGCAGAACAAGCCGGCACCCGCTCTCGTGGGAAACCACCTACGACGTGCGTGCTCAGCATGTTTGGGACGGATGTACGCGAGTGAAGGAGGATGTCAGTGTGTAAATTAAAATGAATGGCTCTTTAAAAACAATACACCCTCTTTAATAATACTTTTCTGCCTCGATTCTCTGGTTTGATGAAGCAATATTTAATTAAGCTAAAATAATAATCTCTAAGAAAGTACCCTAAATCCTACTAAACCCACAATGAACAGAGAACAAAGCTCAGCTACAGTAATTTCCACTTTCTCTCAAATTTCAACGTATTTTTAATGATTCTAAATGTTCTACAATGCAAAAAAGGTACCCAAAACAGACTGTAAGTCTATCTTATTTCAGGTTTTCTTCCCTAAGCTTATGACTTATGTAGCACTTCTATACCAAACGAATGGAAAAACATACTTTTGGGCTCACACACAAAAATATTAAGTATCAATTAAGTATCTAGAGAGAAATTCAGATTTTTTCCCTAAAGTCATTTAAAACAAAAAAACAATCTTTGATTATTTTTTTGTTTCACTGATCTCTGAAAATAACCAAAATAAATTTTCAGTTTTGACAGCCCATTTGAATATGATTTTGATCATTTGCGTCTGTGGAGGTCTCTACAGCTCAGCTAGTAAAGATGTCACTACCTTTGCTTCTAATGTGATTGGCTATTTCTCTATTATGTTAGACGTGAACAGCAATAGTAACAAGGATGAAAGGACGCCTGACTTTGCCTTTTTGAAAGGCCACTTGTGAGGGGGACATTCTGGGCTTTCAACTTTGTCAGACATTGGTTTAAAATCTGGCTCTAGAATCTGCTAGTGGTACCAACTAGGCGTTGACCAACTGTGGCCTGTGGGCCGTTTTTTTTTTTTTT